TGTTGTTGAAAGTCAGGATAGGCAATGACTGAACGGCAGTATGATGGGATCCCTGGGTGTTAATATGTTTTGTTTCTTGATCTGGGTGGTGGATACACAGGCATGTTCAGATTGTGAAAATTCATTGAGATGTGTATACACTTGGGATATGTGCACTTTTCTGTATATATGTGTGTGTGTGTGTGTACATATTTATTTGCTTATTTACCTGTTTTCTTCCTTTTCCTCCTCATTAGACAAAAGCTTTATGAGGCAGCTATCAAGTCTGTTTACGTCAAGATTGTATCTCGAACGCCTAGAACAGTGCCTGGAATACAAAAGGTCCTCCGTAAGTACAGAAATACCTGTTGACTAAATGAATCAACATTCTCAAGGGATCACGAGATGCCTGTTCAGTCACGAAGAACGTCACACTGCGAGTTTTTCAAAGAATAACAATGAAACCATATACCTTTCAATCCCTTTGCCCAGGCAAAGTGTTGGCATTCCGTTCTTGCTTTCCTAGTTGTCACAACTACCACCCAATTGCCCGAGCGACACACCCCCCATCTCCTCGAGGGGCGGGCGAGGTACCAAATTTCCAGTCCTCGTCCACCGCCGAGGGGCTCTCTCATTGGCCAGCGCGCCAAGGCCCTCGGGAGGGCGGATATCTCCAGGAGCCGCTACTGGTGCAAGGCGACGTCGCTCTACGGTGCGCGGCTGAAAGTCAGCCAAGTCAAACAGCCCTCTCGGGGAGGCTCGGTCCTATCGGAACCTGTGATTGGCTGTGATCGAGGGTCCGGGCGGCGGGCCCGCCGCCTCCTCAGGCGCGGAATGGCCGGAGCTGCCGTCAGTCAGCGGGAACAGACTTCCCCTTTCTATCTGGCCCACTGCAGACGAAAAATTCTCCAGAATTTCCCGCGACGAGCCAGTGGCTGTTTTCACTGCTTGTTCCAGAGATTGGAAACATAGGCGAAGACAATCTTATTTACAGAAAGCCCCTTTCCCGCCCTCCGTTAGCTAATTAAACTTTTTTTTCAGGGACATTGCCATCACGAGGTAAGAACATGGAGAAGTGCACTTCATTTATTTGGTGACCGTTTATAGTATTATTTACAGGAGGGGTCGCATCCCACCAGTCCTGGTCCGCGGGATGGAGAGTGAACGGAGCAGGCCTCCCCAGGGAGGGGAGGGGACATGTGGGTTTAATTTCCCCAGCCCTAGCCCGGCGGTCAGTGTCTGAGTTCGCTGTGCGCCGCTTTCTTCCCTTTTGAGGTCCGGAGCCGCAGGGCGGGGCGGGGCCCACACTGCCTGAGCACGGGCTGCGAGCATTTCCAGCGGAGACTCCGCTCGGCCTGAATTTGACGGCAGGCTTGAGGCGAGTGCCGAGCAAGTGCTGTGGGCCGGGTTGGAAGGAGGGTAAGGGAACATGGAAGGGACGCTGGACGGGAGGCAGGGGCTGCCCGCTCTCGTTTCCCGTTAGTGAAGCCCCAATCCCCAGACCCGAGGATGCTGCGGGGTTAAGCGGCTCGTGCCGCTGCAGCTGCACCCGGGCCGAGGGAGACGTGGCGACACCCGGAATCTACGAGGAGAGGGTGGTTGGGAGGCGGAGACCGCGAGGCGGAAGGTGCTGCGGGGAACCCAGCCATTCTGCAGTGCCGCGGGGAACCCAGCCATTCTGCAGTGCCGCGCTCTGTGCGGACGGGAGGGTGTGCTTCCTGCCGAGGTCCACACTGGCCACTCATCTGTCACCTCTAGCGAACCCAGCCCAGGATCCCAAACTGTCCAACGGTGAGCTTTTCAGGGGATCGGAATAGAGAAGGATGCAGAGACCTGGCTGGTGTCGATCTGAGGACGTGGGTTTTGCTTTGCCAGAACAATCATAATCTCAAGGCCTCTGGCTATTGTCTTTTTAGCAACCGCTTTCTGTAGATTAGCGATTTCAAAGAGGTGACAAAAACGAGACTCCGGGTAGAAATAGCCCGGGAATTTGGAGTCTCTAAAGCTCCACTGGCCTTTCTGAACTTCAGACTGGAAATGTGCAGCAAGGCCTCTTCAGTCCCTTGCACCCTCCGGAGGAACGAACGAGGTTGTCGGCAGTTTCAGAAAGAGCAGCTAAAATGACAAATTATAATGGCCTTGAAAAACAGAAATGGTGTCATACAATTCTAGGGGGGAAAAAATGAGTGCACCACTGTGTCATAAAATATTTCAGTTATAATTTTTCAGAAGTGAGTTCTCACTGATGATTTTTTTCTTGCAACCTTAAGTCACTTTCTATTGACCACCGACACAGGCACCTCCCTTGACAGGAATCTTAGAGAAGAGGAAAGAAGAGGGGAGAAGTGCGGGTGATGTAGTATAGACTGTAAGGGAAAATTCTTTTTAAATGAAGATTGGGAATATGGCCTGTGAGTTGTATCCACATTAACTGAAATGTTTTAAAAGATATTTATGGAATTAGAATAATGAATAATTTTTATTACTCCCACGTTTTCTCTGTTCACACATTTAAACATATGTTCACATCAAATCTAAGGGAAGTCATTTGAGGTCTGTTGTTTTTGTGTTTTCCCTCATCTAGACTAGTACATTTTCTTTCCCTTTCTCCTAGCAGGGTACTAATAAAGAGGATATTGGAGTCCAAATTTCCTGAGATACATCCTGGAGGGTTCTGTAACATTTGAATTTATTGGGATGCATTGGTTGTTTTTTGTAGAGTCATTAAAAAAATATTTTAAGAATATTAAAATCACCTGTGTTTCCATTGTGGGAGTTGCTGATGTAAAGATACCTGAATGCCAATTTATGATGGACAGATATGAATAGTTATATGAAACTTAAATAGTTTTGCTGGAGGGATAAATCTAAACAGGTTTCAGTAGTACTGATCCTTAAAACTCCTGAATGATTTTGGCACGTGCTTAACATGACAGCAATAGACTGCTCTTCTGACCTGCTTTCAACAGTGAAGAGCAGTTTAACTCAAATCCCAAGTGCACCCTTCTGCCAGAGACCCATGAGTGCCTCCCTTTTCCAAGAATATATTTGGACAGCTCTGAGGTGTTTAAACCTTTGTAGGATTATAAAGTTGGAATAAGATGAAAATGTAAACTTGGCATAGCAGTCTTGTAGGTGTACCTGTGACTTTTCCTCACCATCCCCCTCCTTTATTTTTAAATCAGGTATATGCTTCAAAAATTTCCTACAAATCAAATGCATTTTTCCCCCTTCCTGTGATGCTTTTCTCTTGAGATTTCCTACTCTCACGATGTGGCTTCTCACTAGAGCTCTCATGTGGAATCTATGCCTACTTCTGTGGACTCAGCATTTAACCCTCTTGGAATCCTGCCCCATTTCCCTCTCTGCTAGTCAGTATTGAAATCAGGAGTCAACTTCGTTCAACAGTCAGAGTTCTGTGTCAGAACTTTATAAAGTATCAGATTAACCAGATTAACTGAGGAGGAGGAGGGAGAAGGGGGCCTGGTCACACAGATGAATGTTAAAATGTTATCCGCCCCCCCCAAAAATAAGGAAAGTGTTTTCAGGGTTTGTTTATTGACAGTGTTTTCAGGGTTTATTTATTGACAGTATGTGTAGAATATATGCATGCTCACACTCACACATTTTAAACTATTCATGGGATTAAAGTTAATTGTGATCCATGCATTTTGTTTTGATTGGGGAATAAAAATGAATTTGGAAAACAGTTTGGCTGAGGTTGAAGATTATCCATTCTTTTCCTTATGGTATGTGATTATCAGTACAGTTAGGTTGCTTATATAAATAATCTGCTGTGTAGCTAAAATTCCAATCAAGTTGCTTATCTTTATTTTCTTGCTTAGCATATTTTTAAATTTTATGTTTGCTAAAAGAATATGATGTGAGGCATAATGTGTTCCCACTCTTTTTTTATTTAACTTTTGCTCTGACATTTTTGTGTCCTCAAATAGCTTTCAAGCAGAATTCTGCCCTTGGACTCTTTTGGATTACTTTGACTTTCAAAGATTGAATACAAATGTTAAAACAAAAATAAGCTAGCCTTGATTTCCGATTGAGAGATTGACATAAAGAGTTCCTGAATAACCGTTTTTCTTCGGTTTGCAGAATGATAAACGCATGCTAATTTTTAATTGCTGAACTGATAAAATATTTCTTAGTTGTTTGTCAGTTTGTTCTCTACTCTTTGTTATAAAGAACACTGATTTTTTGGAAGGCTTTTTTTCCCCCACATTATAAATTCTACCTGCTAACCAGTGCCTAGTCATTTCCACGGGCATCTGGAGAGTTGGCTGGATGGAACCACTTCTTTAGACACTCCCCTGCTTGCATAAGTGGTGCTGACCTGGGTTTGTAAACTAGCTGTATCTCTGGGTTAAACTTCATCCATGTCAATGGTATGCCTTAAAGTAAATGTTTTCCTGTGACTATTCTGCTTACTTTCTGAGGTGATCATGCAGATAACAAGTGAGGAAGGAGGCCAGGTTGAAGACTGATTTTAGTTTATGCAGGCTTAGAGAAACTGCACAACTGCATTTTTTTAGCTCTTAAATAATATTTCCAGGGGCTGTATATTCCCTGGTATGAATGCAGCTCTGTTTTGTTTTATTTATTTTACTTTTGGAAGCTAGGGAGAGAGAGAAAAAGACAAGCGTATCCTAGAAGAGCTGCAGAAAAACTTTACTCAACATTTATTTGTTTGTAATTCTAGAACTCTTGTTTAAAGTAGGTGTGTGACGGCAAAAATGGCCCAAGGCTAGTTATAGTATACATGCTTTGAGATTGAAGCTGAAAGAATAGCACTTTGCTAATTTCTGGTGCACCCTTCAGATGTGAATGTTTTCTAATAAACATATTTAACTTTTTTTTTCAATATGGTATAAAGCTGCTTTGTGAATCAGTAATTAGCACTTAGCTCTCTTACTTGCTAGATTGTATTATAGTTTGAAAGTTCTCCACAAGTTCATTTCTACTTGACACAATTTTTGTTGTTGAACAAAATATAACTTTCAAACAGAAGCAGAGGAATAAACACTTCTTTTTTTGTACTGGAATGCGTTGCTTCCCTTTGATACTTGATAACCAGAGTATGTCTCCCTGCCCCCAATATTGTCACAAAAGAAGTGAGTTTCAGTCTTTAATACATGATATTAGCTAAAAGGCCAAGAAGGGATGGCCTCCTAAGTCTTTCGTGATCCATTAATTGTTCCAGAAGTCATCTTCATTCTAAATGCTGTGAAGGTAGGGCTCTGATGCCTTTTGCTGCTTAGATACCTAAGGGCCTCCTCTGGAACCTAATCCTTTCCTCCTGCTTTACTTACTGAAAGAAGTAATTGCCCTTTCTACACACAGCTGGACTGATTTGTGACAATTTGTTTGAAAATGAATCTGAGGTGTATTTTCTTATAGATGCACTCAAGCTGGGCTTTGTGTGTGTGTGTGTGTGTGTGTGCTTTTTGAGAGGATACATTTTTATCAAGTTCGTTTTTTGTTGAGATAAATAAAAATACGAAATAAAAAAAACACAGTTGAGAATAATGTAACACCTATATATCCTCCACCAGGATTATCAAATCTAACATTGTGCTGTCTTTTCAAGTTGGCTTTTAATTCATAACAGAACAAAGTATTATGCAAATGAATTTCTGCTTAGAACTTTATTTGTATGGCAAACTACCAGAAACACAGCCTGCCGGGGTGTAGGAATTTCCCCTGCTAACACCCAGGGGAGGCTTTCTGATGAATTACAGCTTTTAATGTAAATATATATACCAGTTGCTCATAAATGAGTGCTGCTTGTCACAAGTGCAGTTCCACCTAATCTTTGAGATCACACACATTGGAACTGGCTCATCCTTGTCTCTGGGAGTGTTTGCGTGAACCAGTTTACATTAACATAGTAATAAAGTATGTAAAGTTAATAAGTGGGGAAATCTTAAGACAAACAGAACTTCGATCCTAGATTGTATCTTTGCTAAACTTGAGCACTCTGAGTACAGAACGATCATAAATATCTAACAACCAGTTATTTTTTCTTATTTCTAATTCTCGTAAGAAGTTTTGTTATTGTTAATATCTATATCTACCTTTTCTTCAGAGCAATGGAGTTAATGAAGGGAAGAGTATTTATTTACATCTGTTTTCTAATTCTTGCTACTCAAAGTGTGGGCCTGCCAGACCAGCAGTTTGGCATCACCAGGGAGCTGGTTTGAAATACAGCATCTCAGCCCTGACCCCAGACAGACTGAATCAGAGTCTACGTTTTAACAAAATCTTCAGGTGACTGTAGGTTAAAGTTGGAGAAGCACTTGTTCTATATGACATGTGCACATTGTCAATTTTTTTTTTATAGAATTTAAACACTCGTGAATAGGGTAGGTGAATTTGATTCTACTATTCTTAGCAGTAGGCTGTTAGGTGCCACATTCTTTACAGCCTTCATTTTTGATAATAGCTAATGATAGATCAGTTATATTTGAAATTACCGATGGAGTCTCTCTGTTTCTCTTTCTACTCAGTTGCATCATTTTTCTGGAAGACCGTCCATTATTGCGCTATTGACCTCTCCCTCATTACCGAGGCCCCCTGGAGTTATGTCAACAGCTGCCTTAATCACTTTGGTTAGAAGCGGTGGGAACCAGGTGAGAAGGAGAGCACTGCTCTGCTCCCGCCTGCTGCAGGACGGCAGGTGGTTGACGCCTATGTGCCACAGCTCCACTTCAGAGCCCAGGTGCTCTCGGTTTGATCCTGATGGTAGCGGGCGACCAGCCACGTGGGATAATTTTGGCATCTGGGATAACCGCATTGACGAACCAATTCTGCTGCCACCCAGCATCAAGTATGGCAAGCCAATTCCCAAAATCAGCTTGGCAAATGTGGGCTGCGCCTCGCAGATTGGCAAACGAAAAGAGAATGAAGACCGGTTTGACTTTGCTCAGCTAACAGATGAGGTCCTGTACTTTGCGGTGTATGATGGCCACGGGGGACCTGCGGCTGCTGATTTCTGTCACACCCATATGGAGAAGTGCATCCTGTACGTACAATGGCTTTCACTCTATGCATCTTGCCTTGTGCTTCCTGTTTAAACTTTTCACGTTGGCTGAGATGTTCACTGTTAACGTACTTATTTGAGTGCTTTGATTCTGTTGTTTTAGTAGCTCAGGCCCGGGGTCTGTTACTGATGATTATTACCATTTCAGAAATATGTATGTTTTAACAACTCCCTTGGTGAGAGCATTGACTGAAATCAACGGCACTTGACTTGTGATCATTTCAAGTGAATTAATGTAATAAAGTACCCGATCTCATATGCTGTGAGAATCTATGAGAAGCGTTTACTCCTATCAATGCATGGCATATAGTGCTTCAATAAATAGTAATTTCAGGTGGTATGAATAGCTTTGAATCCTTGTTGAAAATAGCTTTACATGATTCATTTTAGAATATGAAGAATGCATTTAATGAAGGGGTTTTGGCACTCTTTAAAAAGTTTGTTTACCGCAATTATTATTATTATTAATGTGTTATTGAGGATCACACTGGTAGAATTAAAAGATGGAGAGGACAAGGAGGGGAGAGTAAACAGCTCAGTTGTAGAGTGCATGCCTAGCATTTAATGCCTCCATTAAAAAATAATCCTGATTACCTCTCGCCCAAACATTTGAAAAAAACTGGGAGAACATGTAAGTTATGACCGCGTGACTATTTCTTCTTCCCAAGCATAGTTATTCATATTGTTCATCAGTTGCTTTATGTATATTTTGCCTTATTCCACAAGGGAACTCAGTGGCTTAATTAATATGAAGGAACTCTTGACCTCTCAGGGTTGTGGTAGTGAGGATTAATTTTTTGAGGATGGAGGGACACTCAGACTTGTTCTTTTTTTTTTTTTTTTAATAAAGAACAAAGAATGTTCAAGGGCAATTATTCATTTATTTTTATTGGGGAGGTAATTTATATTTATTGCACTGGAGGTACTGGGGATTGAACTCATGACCTTGTGTATGCTAAGCATGCATTCTACCACTGAGCTATACCCCCACCTCCCTTCAGACTTCTTTTTATTGTTTTTAAAGACATATCTGTGCCTGATTCTTTCTCAGTTTGGTTCATTAATATGTGGATTTTAAGCATCTGAAAGGCAGGCCACCGAGGTCCATTGTATGGAATGACTTTGCTAGCTGGAGGGACCAAGAGGAAGGGGAGAAATCTATTGTAAAAATAATTGTTTGGGGCTCTTTTTTCCTCTCCACAAAGGGATTTGCTTCCTAAGGAGGAGAATTTGGAAACTGTGTTGACCGTGGCTTTTCTAGAAATAGATAAAGCCTTTGCAAGGCACGCCCACCTGTCTGCTGATGGTAAGTAAAACAATCTCATTCCTTAGGGTCCTGGGGAATTTTGGTTAAAAAGGAAACAATTTAATTAAGCCCTTTAGGGGTGGGAATTTTAAAATAAGCTTATTGTAAGGACGCTTATATTGAAAATGATTTTTTTAATAATCACTTTAAATGCTGTTTGGAATCAATACTAATGGTAGTATCTCACTTTTAAATGAAATATGTTGAAGATTTTCTTTTTTAGAAATCGAAGCTCCAAAATGATTCTAATATTGAATTTCAATTTTAAAAAGGTAAAAAAAAATTAAAAATCTGTTTGCTCATTTTATGGACAAGAGGTCTATACAATGAGAGAGTTTATTGTTTTTGTTTTTTTAGATGAATCTGATGAGCAAGTACTGAAATACACTACAGGGTAATCTCATCTAGCCAAGGGGTAATTGTTCAGACAAGAAGAAAATTGCAATAATTGGTCCTAAATAGGAAAGGACAATGGCTAATGTGTACTACTTTGTATAATTAGAAGGAAGGTATTTTTTTCTTCCACTTCTTAAAAAAAAGCTTGATCTTGCAGCTTTCCTGTGGTAACTAGTGATATTTTTGTTTTTATTTGTTAAACACAAGGGCTGAATTTTAGAATTTGTGTACTGTATGTCCTTAAACTTTGAGAGTAAAATGTTTCTGATTTTGACTAAATTTATCAAAAGTATTTCAGGAAAATGTAGCTCATGTTTTCTAGTCAGCAGGCCCCCAAATTTATTGCTTTTAATCTTGAAAGCTGCTGCAGCACCATTTAAATGTATGCATATAGACCTCGTAACTAATTTGAAAATGAATCATGCAATACAATTAGTCTGTGTTTGGTTCATCCTTTTGTTAAAGGAGGTCAAAGTGTCCCCACAGCAATTTTTTTTTTTTTATAATTTACAGTCTTATTTCATAGGGATGGAAATTCTCCCCGTTTCACAGATAAAGAACTGAAACTCAGGGAGAGGTAAAAGGTCAGTTGCAGAGTTAAAGCTAGGACGTTCCTGGCACCCACTGTGGCCTCTCTCATGAGCATATTTAATGATGAGGGGAGATGACTCTATTTGCCATCTTAAGAGGTATTTCCTCCCCCTTTTCGAGAACCTTATCATCATCATACTTCTCAGAAGAGTGTTTGAGTGAGTCCACTCTCTTTGTTCAGGGATTTATTTTCATGTTTATAGATTATTCAGGCCCATTTTCTCTTCTTCATGCCTTTGGATATTTTTTTCCCCTTCTGGCTGGCCCCTCACCTTACAAAAATAAGAGTTGAGAGAGGGTAAATTTTAGCATAGGATTCTGTTCTTGTTCCTAATGGGTAAAACATATGAAGGCAAAGAGGACATTCAAACCCTCTTATAGGTTTATTTTTATAACTCTGAATATTGGTAATGCTCTTATTTCATCCATAACCAGGTCGGCTGTATCTCACACCACAACGTTTATGGGCTGTAGTGCAGGTGGTGTGCCCCAGTTGTTCTGTAAAAGGTAGAGCTTAGTGGGCAAGGTTTTCAGACGAGAATGTTCAAATTTATCATAGGAATGTGGCCAATAATAAAAAAAAGTTAACCCCTTCATAGATGCAGTCAGCCCTTTTGTAAAGGATCTAATTGACAAAGATGCTTAAAACAATGATAATTTCTTATAAAATGTGAGAGGACTTATTTCATTTATTTAGTAATAAATTACAGTTAAAGGGAATTTTGAACTTAGGGAAGGAATTTACTTAACTTGCCTACCTTAAAAGAAACTTTCTCAAGATACCTTTCTCACATAGTCAGTTGTGCAAAGAAATTAATCATAGAAATGTACTTCATTTTTAATAATGAAATGAAGATGTATTTAACTTAGTTCTGTCATAGAGTTTGAGTTAATAATCTCAGAACTTTCATAAGACATTCAGAAATTTTTATTCAATGGCCATTTGCTTGCAAGTATCATGGAAGGTGACAGGATGATGTCACTAAAAGAAAAGGAAAGGGTCTGTTATGACATTGTTATTCTTAAGTCTTATTTCGTATGTATTCTTATAGACCAGTTAGTCTGTGTGGTTTTTTAAAATGAGTACTTTAAGAACAGCTTTAAAATTTATTCTTAATAAGTTGCCATGGCTTTCAAAGATGGCAAAAATTGTCTTGATATTTGGGGCTTATTTTATCAAATATATTAAAGTCACGAAAGAGAGAATGCCATATGTTGTTTAACTTTTCAATTGGTGGATTGAAAAAAAAAGTATATCACTTCAGATTTCAAAGTTATTTAAATTAAAAACTTTGTTTTAGGTTTTAGTAAGAACTGAAGTGGTATCAGTGTTGTAAGAGTGGATAATATTCTTTCTGGCATAGCTATAAATAGGACCAGTGCTAATTGAATAAAACTGAAGTAAGTAGTTTGCCCTCTCCAATCTCTTTCATCTTCTCTTGGCATCAGCTCCTTTGCACTCCTTGAACCCTTCCCGTGAACAGCCTGAGGGTAGGGGCCATGGCTTACTCATTTATGACTGTCCAGAGTACAGCACCCTGCAGAGTCTGAAAGATTCTCATTCAGTAATTATTTGGACTGTACTGATCTCCATTGCCTGCTCTTTCTCACCAAAGTTATTATGACTTATTCCTTGATCATCCTATAGCTGACTTAACCAAATTATTAATATAATTTATAGACGTTAATGAGTTATCACTTATGGAGGGATTTGAATTTTCAGTTGGGGAAACCTGAAAAGAGGTTGGTTAAATCACAGGAATGAATCACTAATGGTGGAATTTCAGGTAGGGAAGAACGCCTCGCATCATATGGTATTAGCTTTCTTAAGAGAGTGAAAATAATCAAACATGCTCATCTTTTCAAGATGTTGATCCAAAGCTGTTATATCTGCATAAAATACTTCAAACTATTTCTCATTAGCATTTAAAATATTTACAATTTCAGTTTAAAATGGGGATAGTCTGAGGAGAATAAAATCAGAATGCCACTTTTCAAGAAACAGCCTTTAAGAAATTGCTGGCTATTTTTAATTGATTTGTTGTTGATGAATTTTGAGTTTACCCTTATGTACAAATAGCTAATTTCATCATCATCTTTGAATATTTTATATTCATTTTATGCCAGTCATATGTGTTTTTACAGTTAATGAAACCAGCCAGTAAGTTCAAATGATATCCCATTAGTCTATTGTTTATGAACAAATTGTCACTTAAAACAAAGCAGATGGTAGAAAATTTAGATTATATCCTATAAACTCTTCAAAGTGTTTCTAGATTGCTTAAGATTTGAAAGCAACAAAGCTCCCCAAGAGACAAATGGATCAAAAAGAGAAGACTTGCTCTGACGTTCAGAGTGGGAGACGTTGGTGGCACCATTGTGAGTCTTATTGGAAACTTCCATGCTCTTCATATTACTTGATCTCTTAATGGAAGAATTAAATAAACTACAAAATAACCAGTGTTAGAAATGCAATGTTTTTGATTACCCTTCTTAGGCTGGAGGCAGCCAAAAGTAAAAAAATAGGGACCACAGGTATTCTTATTGTGCTGTTACTGCTTCAACTCGGTACTTCGATTTACTGTTTATGATTCATACATGTCTAGAACACCCATTTTTCATAAGTATTGAAACTGTATTGGTTCATACATATTATTGTTTACACAGTTGAATAATTACTGGGGCGGGGGGATTATACCTTGAAAAGTACAGCTTTTACTCTTTATGTTGCCATTCAAAATCTTGATCATTTTTCTTTTGATGTATTGACCTGCAACACTGGGGGAAAGAAAGAGCTGCAGAAACACCTGTTTTATAAATTATAAAAAGTTGTAAACATGCATTAGAGCTCAAGAGCCTTACTAGCCTTTATTTAAACAAATTAATTTTTCTACTCAAAAGATGCCTTCTAGATGCTAAATCGCTGCATTAAGCACCATTAACAAATATGATACTTCTTGTATCCAGTATAGGAGGTGTTTTGATTCCATCCTGATGTGTACTTAAATCCCAGTAATTTGGTGGTATACTGTAGTTTATGTCTTCTCTAATATGCTTGTCAGATATGAATTATTCACTGCTATACCCATGAATTTTCCCTTTTGTTATTGGGACAATTCTGATACCGAAAACAAACATTTACAGTGCATTGTTTTCAACTCAGTAAAGGTACTGATTTACTCTTCAAGACTGAGTGTGAGTGTCATGTATATGTGAACATGGGTGTGTGTATGAGTATATAGATGTATGTCTGTGTCACCACATATGTGTCTTGGTACACATGCATTTGTATGTAGTTTTTCCTACCTGGAGAAGCCACAAAACTAGTAAGTATTACTCTGTGATGAAAAAAAGAGACTCGGCTACAAAATACCATCAACTTGGGCAAATTGAGTTTTGGAATCGTTGATTTGGCATCTCCTGGAATGTTATGTAATTTGCTAGTGAAATTTTCACCAATATAAAACCCCTTCCCCTTATTTTGCAGCTCTTTTTCTATCCTCCCCTGTGTTGCAGGTTTGTAATGTTTGAGCACACTTCCTGGGTGAACTTCCTATTTGCCTCTGTGCGTGTTATTTGTGGCAGAGAACTGTGCCTGGTCAGCAGCTCTAGACCTGGAGCCCGTGGACACTATTTGCTGGGCTTCAGTGGAAAGAGAGATCTGCTTAATTTTGTCCCAGGTGATGGAGTCCAGCGGTTCCTAGCCTGGACTACGGGAAGGTTCCCACATCCTCTTTGTCCCATTAGTTGAGATGACTTGCAGTAGAAAATGTCCAGTGAGTGTTAAGAACTTATTGAAAGATGTCTTAGTTTTATAGTTTTGTTGTTAGGGAAAAAAGTGAGAATTTTACTTCCATGTTCAATGTTAAACGAAAATAAATGCTGATTTAATATTTATATTCTTAGATGCTTAGCAAACCAGGATCAATAGTTTTAAAAACTTTCCCATTAATCCTGGCATTTTGGAACTGTGAAATTGGGTTAGTGAAAACTCAAGCTCTTTTAAATTCCTAGGTGGCAAAGCCATGAATTATAATCTGAAGTAGCTAAACTTGAAGTTTTCATTTATGAAATTTTAACTCTTTTTGATGTAGCCAATTAAAAACTACTTTAAAACCAAAGCTACTGTTGACAGTTTAAACAAATGAGAGGAATACCAAACTCCCTAGACAGGTAGCATCTGAGTAAATGCCTGTGTTTTCTTCCCTGGCTCTTCCAATCATTCAAAAAGATTACAGTGGTTAAACTGTGAAGATTCCCTTGCAAAGTGTTTTAGGAAACTCAAGAGTTGGCATTTGTAATTTAAACATCACGGATACTTACACTGAAATATTTGTGTTGTACAATGACAATATATAATATATTTTAGCATTGCCAAGATGATATTACTTTGGCACAACAGTTCCAAAATCAAGAGATCAATGGGAAGGAGTGCAACTATAAATGTTAGTTCTCAATAAAGTAAATTCAGCATGGATATAAAAGATTAAGCAGGGTTTATTCATATATTTTCCATTTTATTTTTCTGATTAAAGCAGGCATTTTAATGATCTGATTGGAAAATATATGCATATATATCTTTCCAAAATGCATTGCTGGTGTTGTTTAAATTGTCTTTAAAAATATTGGAAAGATGGTCAAATCAGTAGCACTTCATTTTTACTAAATCTACCTTTGAAGTCAGAATCATCTTTAATTGATCACCTGAAGATTTCACTTAGATGCTTTAAAGAATTAACCATGTTACTGAAGATAATACCTGCTTTAAAATAAGTTATCTTTTTCAATTTCTTCCAACTTGCTTTACTTTTTAGCCCATAATTTCATAGCATTCTTTCACTTTTGACAAGGCTCAATGCACCTTCAAAATTTTTAACAAGTATTAAGGAACTTAGGGCAGACACTTTTGGGATAAATCAATGAAAAATGCACTTTGAGTTGGATGGGTAAACAGTGGCCACCTCAAGCCAAGTAACGTGTAATTTTGTTACTGGTCAGAGGAAATGAATATTCTTGGAATGCTCTGGGCCCAGGGCAGGACCACAGCAGGAGCACTTGGCAGTGCTGTCCTGCATTTGGGTACAGACTAATTGTACTAGATCTTGCTGGAATCAAAAATGTGAACTACAACAAGCTTATGGGAAACTGGAATGAATTTCATTCCTGGCCTTCTAGACTTTGTCCCAGTATAATGATGACTGTAACTTTATTTCATGTCTAGGGAGAAATAAGATAAACAAGAAAAGAATGTGAACCTTTAACCATTTTAGGATTTTTTTTTTTTGGTGAGCATATGTAGAATTAAAACAGTTGTAGAAGGAAAGAATATAAAACATAGAACTTGAAGAGTAAATGGTATGCACTTGGCATATTTTAGTCTATTAACTGATCATACTTTCACAGGATAGGATAAAGAAATGGAAGAGAGAACCTAAGTGCATAGATTATACAAAAGTCTGCTTGCCTGAATGGGCTCTGTAGACCTAGATTAGCCAATCTAATTAAAATGTAATATTTTTAATCTTTACAACTGATGTACACACAAAGGTGTCATAATGATAAATTCAGGTGAGCTCTACTTTATATAAATAGAAGCCATTTGGAGACAGTGATGCATTTTTTTTTTTTACCAAATTGTTAGCAACTTTTTCTGTTTGCATGGAGCCTTGTTACTGAATTAAATACTTCTTTCTCTGCATGCCCTTACTTACATAGTTCATTTGCATTTTATTTGCATAGCTCTAGTTATATTAGAAATATACATTTTGCATTAGTTTAACACACCTGTGTTTTCATTTGTAACAAAAATTCCATATCCAGTCATTTGACTATCACTGACTTATACTCTTTTTCATAATGTTTGCAGCAACCCTTCTGGCCTCTGGGACTACTGCAACAGTAGCCCTGTTGAGAGATGGTATTGAACTGGTTGTGGCCAGTGTTGGGGATAGCCGAGCAATTTTGTGTAGAAAAGGAAAACCCATGAAGCTGACCATTGATCATACTCCAGAAAGAAAAGATGAAAAAGAAAGGTACCAACCACCTCCACTGATCAATCTTTCTACGAGGATGATATTTATATAGTTCAAGATAGAAATGAAACCTTGTGTTTTAGACTGATTTCATGCTGAAGTTTAGCCGTCCCTTGGTTTTCTGAGTGTTACATCATAGTCTTTTCACTTTTTCTTGACCAGGATCAAGAAATGTGGGGGTTTTGTAGCTTGGAATAGTTTGGGACAGCCTCACGTGAACGGCAGGCTTGCAATGACAAGAAGTCTTGGAGATTTGGATCTTAAAACCAGTGGTGTGATAGCAGAACCTGAAACAAAGAGGATTAAGGTAGGAGGGGACTTGCAAACACACTTGATACCCAGGCACGAAATGAGTGCAGGATTCTCTCCAGCTGTGGGCTTACTTTGAAGCCTTAACGGAAGCCAAAATGACTTTATGGAAGGATAGATAAACTCTTCAGATAAAAGAAGATACTCCTTTCTGGCCTAATGTACATGACCAGTTGGTTTTTTTGCACCCTGCTGTGGAATTTGCCTGGAAGCATGGTGCTCCAGTGTTTCCTGACCTGCATGTCAGATCGTGAGCATTGCCCTTCCTTGGAAGTGGATCCTGACTTCCCTTGTCCACCAAGCTAAATAACCGCCCCACGTGTATTTCTGTGACATCTTTTGCCTGCTGCTAATCATAGCCCCCATTACACTATACTTCCCTCAGTGTCCACCCGGGGTGAGCTCATTCTTCCCCTCTGCAACCCCCAGCCTGCTCGAGTACCTGGCACATTATAGTGTAGGCTCCAAGTAATGGCAGCAAATGATTGTTAATTAATTGAACAATTTTGCCTTACAGATGTCCCACTTAATATTCATTTCATCTAACAGATACTTATACAGGGGTTGACTATGTGACTATGTGCCAGGTTCTGGTCAAAATATCTACTCCTACCCCCATTTTAGAGAGAAAAGCAATCCAGGGCAAGTAGATTTCAACTTACCTATGTTTGTCCAGCTGAAAAATAGAGGCAGGTTTCACACCCAGGAAGCCTGGCTCCAGAAACAGCGCTCGCAGTCATTGCCTCGTGCTGCCTGTCAGCATTCGGCTATCTGGTTTCTTCCTCTGTGGCATTACTAAGTAAATGTTAGATTTGTCCTCCGCAGTTGATGCACAGTGTTGCTATTTTTGCCCAAAATACAGGTCTTCCATTTTCACTCTGTTTGCCTGCAAGCTCTGAAACACAGATGACCACTCAGCAAACAGAGAAAATCTTTGAATTATGAAGATTATTCTAAGGCTGAGTCTGGTTTATAATCCTGTGCCTTTGGTTCTGATTGCAGCTACATCATGCTGATGACAGCTTCCTGGTCCTCACTACAGATGGAATTAACTTCATGGTGAACAGTCAAGAGATTTGTGACTTCATCAACCAGTGCCATGATCCCAATGAAGCGGCCCATGCAGTAACTGAACAGGTGACACAGCAGAACTGCTAAAAAAGTCCCAGATAGGAGGAGGAGAGGAGGACAAAGCCAGGTGCAGGTCTCCGTGCAGCCTGGAGGGGCCACCACTGGCTGGAGATTTCTCTGAAATCTTGTGTTTTAGTTTTAGTATTACAATGAATTTTACACTTGGCTCCATAATAAATTCTAAATGTCTAGAAGCAGAATTGCTAAGTCAGAGCTAACACTTACAAATGAATCCTGTATTAGTCCCTATGCTAAATGCTTTACATGTATTTTCTTCTGCAGGAGCTGCATATCTTGAACCTTAGTCCACTGGTATATCTATTGCCAAAAATGCTACAGTGGCATACAGATAATATGGTTATTTTGGGTCATCAGTGATTCTATCCACAATGTAGAAAAATGTGGGCATCGATACCTGGTGAAAGAAGCACAAACCGTTGTGAAATAATTGTGTTAGTAACTAGGTGTTAAACTAGTTTGGCCTTCCAGAGGAAGTTTGATTTCTTTTTGTACAGACTCTGATTTCCATTGTGTTTCTCTTCCTTCCTACCATTCCTTGCAGGCAATACAGTATGGTACTGAAGATAACACCACTGCAGTAGTAGTGCCTTTTGGTGCTTGGGGAAAATACAAGAACTCTGAAGTCAGTTTCTCGTTCAGCAGAAGCTTTGCCACCAGTGGACGATGGGCCTGATCTCTGACTGGGACTTGGAGTTTCTGTGCAACAGTTTTCCACTGAGTGTGTCAAGAAACTGATTAGATTAAAAAGTCAACCATACCGAGGTGACCCTAGGACTAACTAGACCAGTACACAAATCAGTGTGAACTTAGTAACCGCTTACATAGTAGTTTTTCATAAATACCCATCATATTTATGTTCAACTAACTGCACATACTCAGTATAAACATATGTGTAATTCAGCTATTGTGAGTGAGTCTCTGAGTTGAGTGAGCAAATGAAAAATGGTTTTGATACACTTGCTGGGTGTGAAAGTTCTAATTTTTAAAACCCCTGATCTAAAACACTAATCATTGCCCCCATTACATTCTAATTCTCATTTTTAAAACTCTAAGGCAGCTATGAGTTTCTTTTGATCATGTCTGATCTTTTTTCGTTTGACCAGGTTCTTGCCTTCAAGTTCTTTAAAACTAGTTAATATTCTGACAAATACTCAATGTGTTATCTGCAAGTGTTTATTTTAAATAACTGTACCAAGGAGTAATTATGAAAACTGAGTTCTCTGTTACTATATTTTGTATTCTGGATCACTTACTGGTAAATGTAACAATGCAAAAGAAATCAGTTCAGATAACATGACACTGCTAAACTGTATACATATGTACAACAGTGCACTTACGTATTTTAGCTGTGTCACCCTGTCTCCACTGCCCCTACTCAATTCATTCCTATTTTTCTGTAGCTAAGAATGTTACATAGATATGACTGTTCCTTCATATGAGAAAAGAATGCCCAGGCCGAGAGTTCATTGCTCAAAGCTACACAAAGTCAAATACTGCTAGTATCAAGCATTTTGTATAAAGTTGCCATTTGTTATCTCCAATTCTATGTTTTATGTTCTGTGCATAATATGTTTATATCACTTTTTATAAAGAGTAAGCAATTTGGATAATTTGTCGGTAAAAATAATCCCCTACATTGACTGATAATTGCTACAGACAGCTTGAGGTTTATGTCTCCTTTTTCTAGACTCGAGAAAGACTAAATCTTAAAAAAGAAAAACTTCTTTTTTAGCTTGCTATGTAACTGAGGAATGTAAAACCATATTTCTTTATATCTGTGCATAAGTTTGCCGTTAAAATGTGAATCTCTAAATGTGTGTATGGAATTGTATCTGCAGTTTATTTCTGCAGACAGTGTAAATTTGTTATATGTGTAGGTGTATGTACATATGTATATTTTTGACTAATAGAAAATTAAAGGGAACAATCCTATGTAGCTCTTTCACCAGTTAGCTTTAAATTATTCGTATGTTTATCTCTAAGGACTCTTCATAAACTGAGGGAAATTTTATTGTGGAGAACCAATGGTTACTGGCAGATGAGGAAATGGATTAAAAACAGCTGTAGGAGATATTCTGTGGTGGGTAACTTATGTGGAAAACCTAGGAACAGAACCAGCATGTTGAAGCTATATTGCTATGTAGCGTCTGCATATAAAATAATAGGATGTGAGAAAAATACCGAGGGTTAAAAATGACATGGAGTTTTGTTGTAGGAACAAAAGAAAAAACAAAAAGATAACATTGATGTACCTTCAACTCTTAGTTTTCAGAGTTGGCTTTTTTTTTCTTTTTTTAATTTTCATTTCTTTATTAGAAAGAAGAGAGCACAATATAAATAGTCCCATTTCCTCCTCACCTGTTTGGGAATGGAAGAAAATAGATCCTGAGTTTTCTTGCCTATATTAGTCAGGAATTGTCCTTTGGAAAAAAGTGGTAAAAAAAATATTGCTTTTTTTTTTTTTTCAAGAAAGTTTAGTGAAAGAAAGAAAAATGTTACAAGAAAGAATATGGTCTCCAATTCATTGCCTGGGAAGTGATGAACCAAAGGTAGACTAAGAAAGCTGGAAAAGTTTCTTGTTGTTTCTGAATCAGGTCTTGGGACATAAATATGGAAGCTACATTTAGGAGTATGGAGAATTTCCAAACTAACAAGAAAATGGAAACTAAAGCACAAAATGACCTAAAGCTGTGGGTTTTAGGGGGAGGATATAGCTCAGCGGTAGAGCGTATGCCTAGCATGCACAAAGTTCTGGGTTCAACCCCCAATACCTCCATCAAAAAATAATTAATTAAAGCTGTGGGTTTTATTTTTACTTCGAATTCTTCACATTGCTATTCCTCTCGTTGACTTTAAAAACTAAGAGTGGAACGATGTCGAGTTCAAAGGTCTAAGAGTCACTGATGCATTGTAAACATTGCCAGGTGTGACAGAGGCATTTGTGGGGCACGTAGGCATTGATCTGGGGTGGACTTTCCTCTGCTCAACCTGAAAGTTTTTAAAGCCCGAAACTAGTCAGCCTTGACTAACTGGTGTTTGTTTTTCAAGCCACAATGTTGAAGTATAACTTACAGATTATTGTAGTCCATAAAAGAAGCATATTTTATTAGGCTTCTAAATCTATTGCTGGGAATTACACAAATAGTAGTGGGGAAAAAAGGACTCTTCTGAATATAAATTTTTAGTTACAACTGTGAATTTGCCATGTGGTTATCACCATGTGGGTACTGGTATGCTGTAAACTACATTAATGTAATTAAGCTTAAATCAGTTGTATTTATATTTGCCTTTCATTTATGTGTAGTATATAAATCATCTTTCTGAAATGCGTTGCCACACTTTATTTGCCAACATTTATTTGGCAAGATAATCTTAAAATCATTGTGATTTTTCACAAGTATAAATTCTTAAGCACCTTATGAATCCAAATATAAATACAGTCTTGCTTTCCATCAACTGTTACAGACCCTTGTGTTAAGTGCTTCAAAATTTTATGCATTTTTTTCTGGAAAAAAAGAAGTTTTAGAGGAATCAGTTTTGAATTTCTGTACTCTATGATGGGGACATTTCTCAAGTTGCAACATTTAAAAACTTACTTTGAAGAACTATTAGCATGTAATGTAAATATTAATTATGTTTTCAAAGTGGAATTTAATTTTTTTTTATGAATCTTGGCAGAGAATGAGTGCTCTCTTCATCTATGCTAACTCTTCAGTATCAGGCGTGACATTTCGTTTCCTTTCTAAGAATGGACAAGGAGTTAATTTAATGGTAATAAGAAAATGCTTCAAAGCAGGTGAGGGGAAGGCATGGTTAAAGTTTAGCATCAGCATCGAACCATTAATCACAAACATATCTTTGTATTTTCTTTTAGTTGCTCAGTTGTTCACATACTCATGTCTATGGAAAGTGACATAAAATTTTGGTTGGGTTACATTTTATTATGTTTATTAGATTCAGTTATCTAGATGACTTCAGCAGAAATAATAAGTCATGTATTTACAAGCCAGACTGTGATAACCTGCCTATTGGTTCTGGCATTTGGAATGAGACCGCTTGACTCTCTGGCAGCTCTCTTTGGCTGTTAGTTGGTTGAGACAGTCCATTGATGGTCATATCGAGCCTTGCAGGCTGTGAAATCATGCTGTTATTCCAGCTCCAAGAATGACTCATCTTCCACTGGATTCTTGTACAGAATTTTGCAGTTTGCTGTGTCCCACATTAATTTCTGCCAAAGTGCTCTCATGTACATTTGTTTTACAATTTACCAAAGTACTAACTGAATGCATAGCACTTCTATAGAGAGTTGATGTCATTGCTGCTTGGACCATTGTTTTAAGTGTATGTATTAGAGTAACTGTAAGCATACTAAAATCACATATCTCTGTGTTCAAAACACCATTTTAATAAAGTACATCCATTAAACACTTTAAAATCCAACTGTGTTTATTTGGCATCCAGACATTCCAACATTTATTATATGACCCTGTGAAGACTGATAAAAAGGAGTCAATGAATGGCTGGAATTTTTTAGCGCCAAATTCTGGCTGTTTGCAAAATTAATGTGAAGAATCTTTGAAAAAAATGTATACACTTAACTCCAAAGCTTTTTGATTTGATATAAAACAAAATTTGTTTCTTTCATTTCCCTCTTCCAAAATATTTGTTGGCACATCAGAAGAAAATAGTTGTGATGATTTCTACAGTATTTTGCCTGTGATAGATTTCACTGCAGCATCTCCATGTGCTAAAAATTAGAAACAAATGTTTGGCAGGGATACTGTAGAACTCAGCATTATGTATTTAACATAAGCAATTTTTAATGTCCTGTCATTGATTGAATAAAAAGTCACAGTTTCAAACTATTGTCACAAAGATCTCTTCTGGAGTAGCTCTTAATGGTAACTTGGTAAACTCCTTGGCAGAAGAGATCTATTTCATTTTGTTCAAACTCCGGACCTAGCACTTTTGATATGTTTATCAATGAGGAGAAAATGTTGAATCATGAATGTTTGTTGAATGAGTGAGTTAATGCATTGAATTACACTTTTATTAATTTTATGTTAGTGGGGAAATGGGCATTAAATATTTAAAATATTAGCCAAACAGTATTTAATGGCGAAGGAATACTATTTCACCTCTTTTGGTGTTTCTTTAGACAATGATCAATTATGCCTTGTAAAGTATAAGCTAGTATAATACGGTTCAGAACAGGGAAGCCTTTCTAATTATCATTTTTATAGATGAGGAACTGGAGCCTCTGAGTAGCTAGTAATGGCAGATTCCAATTCAGATCCCTTTGAATTCAAAGTTTATGTTCCTTTTACCTCACCATACCTCCTTTATATATTAGCAAAAGCAAAACCAATTCATTGTTATCTAACATCATCTGTTAACATCCATCTGCAGAAGGCTCTCTGGTGGACATGAAAGAGTTACAGAGACATGATAAAGAAACTAACTTAGTGGATGAATGAGCATACTAAGAGATAGTAACTGAGCATTTGTCACATAAAACTAGGGTAGAGAACTAAATTATGTCCAATCAAAAAGAGTAATAACTGGGCAATAAGTGTGAATGAGTGAACAAAATAATATCTTAAGCAGTATAGTGTTAAGAGGATCACTTATGGAAGTCCAGTAAGTCAGTTGACCAACAATAAGCATTTATTGAAAATCTATTGCTTATGTCAGTAAAAGACACTAGTGTGGGTCTAGCAGGGCTTGGGGCTGGTGGTGATTATCTCCCTAGAACTTTGTTAGGAGACTGAGAAGTGAGAAAGTAAATTACACACAAAAAATATGTGTTTGTTGTAGCAAAGTGTGTTACAGCTCAGTGTTATAGGTCAGTTGTGATTGCAACCCGGATCCAGGTGAGAGACAAAACAGCACTCAGAGGATTAAGAGAACTCAGGTTTATTATACCAGTGGGCCCAGAGGAATTAACACTCCAAGCTCTGGATCCTATCTGTAGGTTTACACAGGCTTTTATAGGCTACAAGTCTACACTTTGCAACATTTGTAACATCACATGCAAATAAGGTATGACAAAGGTGACTAATTAGGAACAAGCTTTGTAGAAATGGACCAATCAGGAGTGAGGGAAATGGACCAATCAGGACTGAGGGAAATGGACCAATCAGGAGTTAGCTCAGGGTACCAATAGATTCTTAGGGATAAGTTCTGCTTTCCTAGAAGTAAGCCCTTTCAGAGTTTAAAAAGTGAGATAATGCAGTAGGGCCAGAGAACCGAATGGTGCTGGCAGAAGGGTAGTGGCCCTGCCTTGCCTTCTTTTTCATGGGGCTTCCCATGTCACGTTCATGTGGACAGATGAAGCAAAGATTTTTGGAGCCAAGAGATCTCTAACCCCTGAGGTCCCTAAGCCTTTGGTCACATGTCAAGGGTAGGTTCTTTCAAGGACCAGGAGATCTATGTCTTAGGTGGCAGGTGGCCAAAGGGAGAGCCAGTTACATATTTTGTGCCAAAGGAAAATGCCAGGCCCTTACTCAAGACAGCAACTCCAGAGCGCCAAACCAAGTAAGGGGCCTCTTTAAGAGCTGGGTCCTGTGCTGCTATGCAGGTCGTGCACCCAGAACCAGAGGGAAAATACTCTATCAGAGTTAATGCAGAGCACAGAAAAAAGAAGGGAGCACTTTCACTGCGCTTCTAAGTCCTGTCACCAGTGCGCGGACACTGCCACTGTATACCACGGACCGTGATGCTTGGCCCCAGGCGGCAACTACAGCTGCTCCCCGGTATTCCGGGTTTCCATCTCCCCGACCAGGTACACCTCCAGCAGCCTGGCGCCAGAGCTCCACAGGCAGAGATGGGGAAAGCGGTGGGCGGTGCTCCCCTCGCTCTGGGGGTGGGGGAGGGGTACAGCGCCGAGTCCCAGGATCCCCCGCCCCCGCATCGCCCGCCCTGCTCATCCCCCGCCCCACCCCCGCCGCGCGCCCCGGCTCCACTGGTCTGGAGGCTGCGCCTCTGGAGGGCCTGGCGGAGACCCTACCTCGCTGCGCCTGAAAACAGGTCCGAAAAGCTAGTTGCCCTTCCCGTCCCCCTTTCTCGTTTATTTTCTTTTCTCGTTCCTTCCTTCGTCCCTTCTTTTCCCCCACGGCGGCCGGGCCGGACCGGGACAGAAACTCGCCTCAGACACCAAAGCGAGAGAAGCGCCTGCCGAGCCGCTCGCCCGCCCGTCCCGCCTCCTCCCGGCCTTTCCTTCCTCTGCGCGCCCAGTTGGGCTTGGCGGAACTGGCCTTTTCATCCCAACGTCCGCAAGTTATTGGAGGCCGACTGTCTTTGGGAAGCGAACGTGACCGTTGGCGGCCAGGAGGCGCTCTTCTGCCTGGGGAGATTCCTGGAGAGGAGAGCAGATGAGAGCTGTCCCCTAGCAGGGTCCCGCCGCCAAAGGGATACCGTGATTCCTTCGGTCCTGGGGGTAGGTTCTGGGCAGCACTACACAGTATGCATTTAAGTATCAACTCCATTTCGCAGATAGGACTGAAAAAATGGAGGGATATTTCTGAGATCCTGTAGGCGTTTCCGTCCAGCTCAAACCCTCAATCCCAGGAATGGCCGTGTTCGTATCTGTTGCTAAAATGTGCGGCCTTGGTGGCCATGTGTGTCTCACGGGACACTTCTTGCTATTTGGACGACAGGATCCTGAATAGAGTCAATCCTTAGTCCACAACCAATCAGGTTCTCTCTTTAAAATCTATATTAATGAGAAATGGCCGGGCTCTATAGCTGTATGATGGGAAGAGCTAGGTTTGAAAGATGGTGTCAACTGGAGTGACCGTTTCTGGATAATGTGCACACATTTGACTTTGCAGAGAGGACACACTTCTCCAGGGAGAAGTGGAGGGAAGAACTGCCTTCGTCTCAGCAGTCTCAATTCAAATCCATGGCTAGTTTGAGAGGATTTCTTTACAGACCCAAACTCACGCAGGTAACAAAGTACAGAAAGCAGCTTACATGAGGGTGCTGGCTGGGGATTCAAATCCAGCCCTACTTCATCCCAAAGTTAATTATTTTCCAGGGCAAAAGTCAGGTAAGGTTAGTAAGTACTTATACATTAATAATTAGGTGGGAAAAAATTCCAGAAGGACCCTGAGAACGCTGCAGCTATTCCATTAGAAACCAGGAAGAATTGAATAATTTAAAAATGTGTCAGGGAAGCAGGAGAGGACATAGTAAAGGCATAGCAAGACTAAGACCACGACCAAGACAAAAGGTAACCAAACTCAGGCCACATTCTTGACCGTATTTGAGGCTCCTACTTGCCCATGTCTCATTTATTGCATTCCACCGCTTGACTCCACCACACCAGTGAAACATCTCTCCCAGAGGCCCATAGTGGCCTCCTATTGAATAAGTACAGTGATTCTTTTTAGTTTTTATCTTATTTGACATCTCTTCTACACTCAGCATTCCTGGCTAATTCTCTCCCATTGAAATAGTCTCCTCTTTTAAGGGTTTCCTGCCACCGCTTTTCTGTTTTTCCGTCTAAATATCCAGCAACTGCTTCTTAGTCTCCTGCCGTTTGATTGGTGGTGTTCCCAGGTATACCATCGACCCTCTTCTCACTGTGTACTCTCCTTGTGCAAGCCCATACATTCTCGTGACTCCACACATCACCTGCATGCTAATAACTGTACTCCCAGCCCAGATTTCTCTCCTGAGCGCCACACTCAACTCTCCAGACATGGACTGGAAATGTCCGTTCAGAGGCCCTGTAGGCAACAAGTCAACATATCCAAAATGGAATTCCCACCCAAACCAGTCCTTCTAGTCTGCCCATCTTGTTGAAAGGCAGTGTCTCCCACTCAGACAGACCCCCTTCCTCCTTCACGGCTGTAATTTTCTCCTCTGCTCTATCCTCACTGGTGTTTCCCTAGATCCAACGAACACGATGGTTTCCCAACTCATTTTCCTGCCTTCAGGGCCACCCCTCGTCCATTCTCCACATGGTGATCACCACACACTCATGTTTGCGTTCTTTCAATCTCACCTCCTAGATATAGTAAAACTTTAGCATTGCACAAGAGAACCTTCGTCCATTCCCTGCCACAACTCCAGTGTAATTTTTTCTACTTCTGATCTTCCTTCTTAAGCTTTATCCCAGTTGATGGTACGTTTTCCTCTCTCCCTGTAACACACCGCCCCACTTCTTTCCAGGCGAACTTCAAAGCTCAGATGTTATTTTCCATGGAATGTTTATTCTGATGCTCCTCCAGTCTAAAAGTCTCCCTTTTATTCCTAAGTCATTCAATACTTACTTTTATACTAACACTTACTACCCTACAGCATAACTCTTCGTTTCCCCCACTTCTTCATCTTTAGACTGAATTCCTCGAGGGCAGGGACTAGGTCTTTTTGATAGATAATCCTAACAGCACAGTGGGCGTTCAGTAAAGTTTGGAATGCATGA